CCCTCGGTCAGTGCAGGGCGACTCCCCTGGTCTCCGAAAACGCCTTGTTTTCTGGCTTTAAGCGCACCCGATGCGGACTACAGCCAATTGACGTGTCTTCAGTCTCAATGAACTTGCGCCATGAAGAAATCAGCCTTGCAAGAGTCGCACATCCGACCGGCTGGCATTCAGTGGCGAGGCACAGCAACAGGGGATGCCACGGTCAAGTAATCACGGGCTCTAGCGAAATCGCCAGCGCGAATGGCACTCATAGCCGGCTCCTTCCCACTAGAAACGCTACTCAAGGCACTTATGGGGGCAGTGGCGTCTCTAGCACTCTGCTCTGGGATTCATACTCGTGCACAGCTGCTGCAAAAGGACGAGCACCCTCAAAGCTCCCGAGCATTACACACATCGATATCGGGGAGTTCTCTTCGATTAAACATCAATCCAAGATCATAGATTCATAATACCATCACGCTGAGAGCGTCACAAGCCTTCAAACGATGGCAATTTGTGCAGAAACGACTCAGTCACAGGACACTCCTTCACCCCTCTACTGTGCAATGCCACGCTCCATGACTTGCCCGATTCGATGCTCCCAGCACGATCGTCACTCTTCCAATGCCCGGTGAAATGAGAACAGTCTCGAAATCCAGGTTCCGCGGCGAAATGTGGGGCCCCGGTAACAAGGACCCTGGTCGGAAGAAACGGGGTGCCCCCAACTGTTTTGGGGCCAGGATTCCAGCATAAAACCCCCCAGCCGCGACACAGAAACAAAAAACTCAAATACCACCCTGTCCTAAAGTATCCATAGTCATCAGCGGCCCGGCTTCCCCTCAGACCCTCGTCCTTGAGGTCCCCAGTCTTCGTGCACCATGGTCAGTCAGCTGTCGTTCTTGCCTGCTCGCTCCCTGTCTATATAGCCCTCCCCATACCTATTCCAAAACCCCATCGACGTTGCCAATTCCGATACCAAGTCCGCCCCCATCTCCTTCCCACAGCCGCGCGACATTCATCGTCACAGCAACAGCTCGCCCCGGCGCAGCTTTCTGTTCAAATTGGGGTACATCTTCGGGAGCTGCTTCGGGACTGTGCCTACAGTCACCATCGATGCTCATCCCATCCCCGCCAAGAAGATGCCCAAGCGTCCAGAGTCCCCCGTCGCCACAGAGGCCCCAGTGCAGGCCACCATGTCGTCGAACCCCGATTGCCCCTGCCCCCCCACCATGATCCCCGCCATCCGCCCCGAGATGCCCCTCGC